TGAATGATGCTCTCAAGCTTGTGATGGTAGAAAGTGAAATGAAGCATTAAGTGTTTAACGTGTTTATGTGCTTATGTGCAGTAGAAATCAAAATGTATTCAGTGATCTAGATTGTCAGACCCTTGTAATAGCAAAGCAAGTAAGAAAATGCTGAGTTTTTTCATATAATTAAGCTTATGTTATCTTTAAGCATCATGTGTTTAATATTATTCTAATGATTTTAAAATTACATTTCAAGAGGAAGAGGAAATGGTTAAAGTGCACCAGAAGTTTGTGTACTTGATGCTTTATTTCTTTGATATTACTTTTAAATACTGTGCTGATGTATGAAAAATAGTTTTACTAATTTCTGTTTAACTCATCTTGCCTTTTTTATGCTTCTGAAAACCTGGATGGAAAAATAATCTAGGACACACTGTATCAGATTATTTGAAAAATTACATTTCTGAAACACTGTTTTTAACCTGTAATAGATAAAAGCTCAGTGATGTTTCTTATGAATGTCTTATCTACTTTTGGCAACAATGTTAATAAAATTCAAGTCTCATAATTTAAAGAAATCTTTTATCCCCTACTTCCAATACTATAAGACATGAATATTACACTTTGCAGGCTGTTTATCCATTAGGCTGATTATAGAACCTCTATAAAACTGTTAATATTAGGAAATATTAATTACTGTTTACCTTTTTTTTGAGTAGAATTAGTTTATCTGTGCATTGTCATTATGTTATCTTAAAACCATCCTTCACACAACTTGGACATTAACCAATTGCCTAGGAAATACGTATGTGGTGTTTAGCTGGAGCAAGTACAAAGCTATATGAAAGTATTCCAGCAGTGATACCCTAGGTAACACCTAGTGTTTTAAAATGAGTTTATATTTTAAAAAAGCACTTTTTTGTTCATTTTAAAATAGTCAGAAGGGTACAACTGATTTGCAAAGCCTATAGATAAGAAATATTGTTGGACAAACTAATATTTTACTAAATCATACTAGCATAGTATGCAGAATCCCTAATGTCAAAAACCCAAAGAAAAACAGTCTGATACGAGGTGTCCAAACAATGAATGTATTATTTGCTGAAATTATTTTCCTGGCTATGTGCCCTGTCCTTTGCTTTTGTTTGAGAGAGTCTAGTTTGATTGACTTTTGTAAGTGTTGGGATGTTGGGTAGATTAGGAGGAATGCCTCTGTGTAGGGTAAGTACCTGCACCTGTTTCCACAGCATGGTGCTCAAGCTCTTATAGCCAGTTTTTTTTTGTTTCCCTAGAGGACCAGCTCAGGTCTTGCAAATAGACATAGCAAACAGCAGAACTGCAGCTGTCCTCTTTGTGTCCTGTTTACAGGTTGCATCTTGCTAGAAAGTGACCTTTTACAGTAATTAATTGAAGGCACCTGCTTTGAGCAATTGATATCACATAAGAATTGATTTAATAATTCATAGGATTAGAATGGTTACTAGAATGGATGTTAAATATTTAACATAAATAGGTGGTTAATGTATTTAAGAATTTTCTAGTAATTCAATAAAGCTTGTGGCACTGCATGTACTTTTGCTTACCTACTGCCTGCAAATATCCAGCATCTATGAATATATAATTATTTACATGGAAAATATCAAATAGACATGTAATGCAGAAGGACTTTTGAATTATGAACTCTGCCTGCATCAATCTATGCATATGAATTTTAAGCTTGCCTGGATGTAGCATAGTCCTTTTGAACTTGAGAGTTCAACACAGATGATGTATTTATGTGTCTCTATTGAAAGCTGACCTGACCTTTGCATATGACGCAGGAGCTCAACCCCCTTTTGCATTGGAGCAGGGTGGATGTCCTTCCCTAAGCTGGAACACATTGAGTATAGGGTATTCCTGCTTACCATGCATATAAATATTTGATATATATTTAATATAACAAAAATAACCTCAAGAACATTTGCAGTACTCATCCAATTTTCCATCGTGGTGTGCTAGTTGAGATGTGATCACTGCTGGGAGCAAGACAGAATGAGCTGGGCAGCACATTAGATATTCAGAAGGAGCAGAAAGCCTCCTAAGTGTGAGTAGTTTTTTCAAGAAGTAATGATATACCTTGAATATTGTGTTCAGTTCTGGGCTCCTCACTGTAAGAAGGACATAGAAGTGCTGGAGCGTGTCCAAAAAAGTGCAGCGAGGCTTGTGAAGGGCCTAGAGAACAAGTTCTGTGAGGAGCAGTTGAGGGAGCTGGGGTTGTTTAGTCTGGAGAGGAGGAGGCTGAGGGGAGACCTCTCATGAGAGACCTCATGGCTCTTCACAACTACCTGAGCGGAGGTTGGAGTGGTGAGGGGGACAGCCTGTTCTCCCTGGGAACATGTGGTAGGACCAGAGGGAATGGATGCAGGCTGTGCCAGGGGAGGTTTAGGTTAGATATTAGGAAGCTTTTATTCACTGAAAGGGTTGTCAGGCATTGGAATAGGTTGCCCAGCGCAGTGGTGGAGTCATAATCTCTGGAGGCATTTAAATGGCATGTGGACCTGGTGCTTAGGGACATGGTTTAGTGGTGAGCTTGTGGTCTTAGGCTGGACTGGATGATCTTGGAGGTCTCTTCCAGCCAGGGACATTCTGTTATTCTGTGATCTGTATATGCTACTGGTGTCCTGCTTAGCCCTCTTGCAGCTCCTAGAAGATGCTTCTTTGTTCTAGCTAGGAAAAATCCTACTCCAGGAAGCAGGGTCAGTTCATTAAATGGCAAAAAACATGTACTTACGTTTTAAAATGAGATTAAATTTCTGCCCTGTTCTGCTTCTGTGTTTTCCATACACGTCTGGTGGTTATTTCCCCACTTCCTGCATGGGTGCAACATTTTCTGTTATCTCCCCTAAATAAAGAGGGGGAAGAAGGATGGATCAGGCTGTGAGAGAAGAAAAACAGAGCCTTATCTGAAGGCCAGCATCTGGTCTGGGAGGGTGGGTTTCATCTCTAGTCATACGTGGGTTGGTACCATGATTTCTGAGGCAATAGGGGATTTGGGCTTCCTACTTATCCTTAAATGAGGCATTTTGTTTGCATTTCTATTAAGTGTAGTAATTTTAATTTCCTGATACCTCATTGTTGGATAATTGCAGCATCTTTATATTTGCCTTTACCTGCAACTGAAATCGGATGTAAATTAAAAAGAAAGCAACCTTGTGTCGTCTGGAAATTCATTTTAAATGAAGCAGGTTGAAAAAATGTTACTTGATTACTTTGGAATCAATTGAGTCAATAACTCTTCAGTTATTTATTGTGTTAGGTATAAATTTATTTTCCTTGTATGCTCAAGATAGTTTCTGTCAACATGAGTCTGTTATGATCCCTAAGTGAGTCATTATATCAGTACTTTAAAAACAGCTTTGACTTGGAGCAGATACCATGCAAACTGGGATAAGACAAGTATCCTCTGTCTTTGAGGAAAAGATTTGTTAGTCTTAGTTAATATCAGTTCCAGTAAACACTGACCTGTACCTTCTGTCAGGGAGTTTACAAATCTGTAAGAGAGCAGGTTTGTGGAGTATAATTGTCAGAAAAGATTACCTAAGTGCCATTGAATTGACCAGTTATGTCTGTCCTCTTACCTTTGATAATCTATCTGAGAATGCTTTATCCTTCCTCTCTTGCTTTAGAGTGGTTGGTTTTTTTTTCCGCGCTTCCTTGAGTCTGTGATGTTACTCTTTTCACATTAGGACCCTGATGGACCACAGCACACCATAGTTGTGTCTTGCATGGCTTTCATTCTGTGAAATCCTTATCTACCAGGGGTGTGAGTTTGTTTTGTTATTTAAATTGCGTTTTGTAGGTTTGTTGTGGTTGTTTTGTTGTTTTTTGTTGTTGTTTGTGGTTTTTTTTAATTCAGAAGAAGGTAAGTTTTTTGCTTCGCTTTAGATTGTGAGTTGATACAATAATGAAAAAAAACACCTTTTCTGATACAATGGTATACCAAGAAAAAGAACCAAAGCTATCCTATGCTTGGTCTGCCAGTAGATCAGAGAGAAAGCAAGACAGCATCTCCAGGAGGGTAAGAAGGAACCTGAAATACTATTTGGAATGTGTCTGTGTGCATATGCACACAGGAAAAAAAATGCTACAGGTTTGTTGTATATACATAGTCACCTTTTTTATCTCCTTTTAGCTGGCAAAATGTTTTATATCCATTATAGGGATGCGTGTCATTTGGTGCCAAATTAATTTGTCTTATTGTTCCTTATTTCTCACTGATATTTGAAGAAATCTGTTTCTGCAGGATGTGTAAGGCAAAATTTTCTTAGTATCTGCACATTCACTATTATTTCAAAAGTACTGAAAACTGGCAATGGCAGGTTTTGTTCCCAGTGCCCATTAGTTCTCTTTTTAGGAGCTCAAATTCCACTGATTAATCTGTAAGACTTGTATGCTCCTCTGCACAGACTAATTCTGAGATGATGGTGCTTTCCATGGCACTGATGAGGAGCTTTGTCTGCCACAAAGCCAGATGACTGCCTTTCTTTTCCCTGACTCCTTAGCAAGCCCTGATGGCATCCACACTGATTTTTGAGTTTGGGGTGCTGCACTGTGGAGACTAGCATCTTTATGCTGCCATTTTCTGTGCCATCAGGTTGGGGCTTTTGAGCCCTGCTGCTAGGATTTACAAAGCATGGGTGTTTCAGCTCTGGCAGTGGTGATGGCACCAACAGCACAGGTCTGGGCAGGCTGTGGGTCCAAGGCAGCTGAGTAAAGCTCTACTTTGAAGAGCTTCATTGGCAGGA